CTCTCCAGACCCCAGAGCCCATGGAGGTCTGCTCGGCCAGCTTGTCGCCAGCACCCGCGGGTCAGCAGGTGTGGATGTCTGCACAGCAGCAACAGTCGTGTTAGACTCTTGCAAGGTGCACAAGGTTCCCCTGGACGCCTTTGGTCCCTTGGGTGAAGGCATGAGCGCCTTCCTCATGGGGAGGTCTAGTGCCACCCTTCAGGGCGTCATTGTGCACCTGGGTCTCATTGATGCAGACTTCACAGGGCAGATTTGTGCAATGGTTTCCACACCCACACCCCCTGTTACGATCCCAAAAGGGACACGGCTTGCTCAACTTGTGCCTTTTAAGTCTTCTGTGCGCAGGACGACTGACCGGTTGCGAGGTGATGGCGGTTTTGGATCCACTGGGCCGCCTCAAGTTCACTGGACTGCTGTCCTGACCAAAGACCGTCCCGAGATGCTGTGTACCCTCTCCATCCCTGATGCAACACCGTCAGAGATCCGCCTGCGCGGGCTCCTTGACAGCGGCGCTGATGTCACGGTTCTCTCCCTTGCCGCCTGGCCTCCGGACTGGCCCCTGGATCCAGCGGAGACGTCTGTTGCGGGCCTGGGGGGAACAGCACGGTGTTATGTGAGCCAACGGCCTGTGCTGGTCACAAACCCAGAGGGACAGACGGCCTGGATTAGGCCTTATGTTACTTCTTCTCCTGCTAACCTCTGGGGGAGGGATGTTCTATCTGCGTGGGGGGTGCGCATTGGGACGGGTTTTTGATGGGGGCCACTGCAGCGAAGGGCGCAGAGTGTCCTACGCCTCCTATACGGTGGCTGGTGGATACACCTGTTTGGGAAAACCAGTGGCCCCTCCCTCAAGATAAACTGATCGCCCTTCGGAAATTGGTGCAGGAGCAGCTGGACCAGGGTCGTCTGGAGCCTTCTAACAGTCCCTGGAACACCCCTGTTTTCTGCATCAAAAAGAAGTCTGGGAAATGGAGGTTGTTACAGGACCTCCGGAAGGTCAATGCTGTCATGGAAGGCATGGGAACATTGCAGGCGGGCATGCCATCGCCTACCATGCTTCCTGCAGGCTGGCCGATCTTCATCGTGGATTTGAAGGATTGTTTCTTTACAATTCCTTTGCATCCCGATGACAGACCGAAATTTGCCTTCACGGTGCCAGCAATTGACAATGATGAGCCTGCACAGCGATATCAATGGAAAGTTCTGCCACAGGGGATGCGCAATTCCCCGGTCATATGCCAATGGTATGTGGCCCGTGCCTTGTCTGGAGTTCGCAAGCAGTTTCCTGATGCACGTCTGTATCATTATATGGACGACATCTTGGTGGCTGCGTCCACTCAGGATGAGCTGCTGAGGATTCAGCCTCGGTTGCTCGATGCTTTGCATGCTCATGGGCTGCAGGTGGCTCCAGAAAAGGTTCAACAGCAACCTCCTTGGAAGTATTTGGGGGTCAAAATTCTGGAACGGACAATCCAACACCAGGAGGTGCAATTTGCACACTCGGTGAAGACACTGAATGATGTTCAAAAACTGATGGGTGTCATCACCTGGTTACGTCCATACTTGGGACTAACCGATGCACAACTGTCTCCTGTGTATGATCTGTTGAAAGGAGACTCTGATTTAAAATCACCTCGCACATTGACCCCTGAGGCACGTCAGGTGCTGGAGGAGGTTCAGCAGGCTGTTTCTGCCCGTCAGGTTTATCGCATTGATCTTTCCGTTGATGTCGCTGTGTTCGTTACCACTCCAGATTCGCATCCCACAGGTATCATTGGTCAATGGAGTGACAAATGGTCCGATCCCTTGCACATCTTGGAATGGGTTTTCCTGCCCCATCAGCCGCAGAAGACGGCAACGACATTGGCTGAGTTGATTGCTCGGTTGATAATGAAATGCCGGCAACGGTGTTTGCAATTGATGGGTGCGGATCCTGCAAAGATCATACTCCCGATATCCCGGGAGGACTTTGACTGGAGCTTTGCACACTGTGTGTCCCTGCAATGTGCTCTAGAAAACTTTTCAGGGCAGATCACTTATCATTTGCCCAGCCACAAGCTACTGCAGGTGGCAAAATCTATGCAGATCTCTTTGCGGCCCAAAAATAGTCAGGAACCTGTGCAAGGACCCACCGTCTTTACTGACGGTTCGGGGAAAACAGGAAAGGCCATTGTTACTTGGAAGGACGGATCTGAGTGGAAGGTTCTGAAAGGTCATCAGGATGGGTCGGCCCAAGTGGTTGAGTTGAGGGCCGCTGTTATGGCATTTGAGAGATTTTCCCAGGAACCTTTCAATTTGGTCACGGATTCTGCCTATGTGGCTGATATCGCACAGCGGTTGGGTCACTCAGTTTTGAAGGAGGTCAGTAACCCTGCCTTGTTTCATTTACTGAGGACCTTGTGGTGTGCTATTCAGGCCCGGGTTCATCCGTTTTACGTTCTGCATGTGAGAAGTCACACCAATTTACCAGGGTTTGTAGCAGAAGGTAACGCGAGGGCTGACAAGTTGGCTAATCCGGCGTGGGTAGCACCCCAGCCTGATACACTCGCACAGGCCAAGGCATCACATGGGTTTTCCATCAGAATGCACATACTCTGCAGAAGCAGTTTCAGCTAACGCCAACAGAGGCTCGTAGCATTGTTGAGTCCTGTGACGACTGCCATGCACTTGCTCCGCCTTTACCAGCAGGGGTAAACCCTAGAGGCCTTAGGGCCTTGGAGCTTTGGCAGACTGATGTCACCCAGATTGCCGAGTTTGGCCGGCTCAAGTATGTGCATGTCACGGTGGACACGTTCTCCTCTGCGATGTGGGCTTCCGCTCACACTGGAGAAAAGGCTCGTGATGTCATTGCCCACTGGAGGCAGGCCTTTGCCGTTCTAGGCATACCTTCTGCTGTGAAAACTGACAATGGTCCTGCTTATGCATCGCAGCAGGTGCGGCAGTTCCTACAGTTGTGGGGTGTGTCACACAAGTTTGGTATCCCCCATTCTCCAACCGGCCAAGCTATTGTAGAACGCGCTCATGGTACTCTGAAGCGGGTTCTTCAAAAACAAAAACGGGGAATGCAGGGTGAGACCCCGCACAGTCGGTTGGAGAAAGCATTGTACACCATCAATCATCTTACAGTGCAGCAGAATTCAAACAACCCTGTCATTTTAAATCATCATCTCTCATTGCAAGCTGCAGACGAGGCACATCAGCCTCGAGCAAAAGTTCGAGTGCGGAATTTAGTCACTAAACAATGGGAAGGTCCCTATGACCTTATCGCTTCGGGGCGCGGGTATGCTTGTGTATCCACAGATACTGGGGTACACTGGGTACCTTCAAGGTGTGTTCGTCCTGATCTGCAACCGCAGAGACAGAATCTGACAAACGGGCAACATAGAAGCCGTGACCAAACTGAAAGTCATCAAATGGATGGATCATCGAGTGATGACTCAGTTGAAGATGACGGTGGGTGATCACTCTGATGATTCCTCCACGAACAGACACTGAACCTTATTCATTTTTCCTTTTCTTTTAAACTAAAAAGGGTGAGATGTCGCCCTGATTCTTGAGTTTTCTTAAGCCTTCTGAATTTACATTCTATTAGGAAACTTTCCCACACAGTTTCTGTAAATAATGTATTGTTTTGCATTCCTCCATGGGGGTGGAGAGACTTGATGTACTAGTGCTTTGTCCAATGTCTTTGGAGAGGTGGCCCGTTCACTCTCCAATCCACTGTCACCTTTGGAGAAGTATAAAAGTTGGAGTCAGAAAATAAACGCTCTCTTTTTTGCCTTGCAAGGTAGCAATTGGCTCGCGTTTGCTTTCTCGTGTCCTATAGCGACAAGGAGGCCCACAGTTGTCTTATGTTCCTAAAAGCTATTTATCAGTTTCTATATTCTTCATTATAAACCCAGCTAACCAAACATTGTGCTGACAAGCAATTAATTATTAGTTAACTACTAACTCCTAACTTCATCAAGGCCTACTCATTTATTATTCTTATTTTAATTAACTCTAGTAAGGCTTATTTCTAACTAAAATCTTAGCTCCTCAAAATCTCTAAATGCCTTAAAGTTTACGTTTCACCCACACCCCAAAATTCATCACCCCCTCACCCAACACCATCATCATCCCAAAAGTCATCACCCCCCCAAACCATGACACCCAAACCATCCCCATCACCCTCACCCATCACCCAAAATTCATCACCCCGCACCCATCACTCCCAAAACCATCCCTATCACTCCCACCATCACCCAAAAGGTCATCATCCCCCACCCATAATCACCCTAAAAGCCACACCCCACCCCATAACCCCTCACCCCCCATCCCGTACCCCCCTCACCTGCCCCATCCTGTGCCCCCAGCTCTGCCCTGGCTCCGCTGTCCCCGTGTCCCCTCGTGTCCCCTCGTGTCCCCTCGTGTCCCCTCGTGTCCCCTCGTGTCCCTGCGGCTCCTTGGGTGCCTTGGAGGGGGTGGAAAAGCCCTCTGGAACAGCGACAGGCACGCTGGCCTTGGGGACACCCCTGTCCCCTCCCCTGTGGTGTCGGTGGCTGCAGGAGCGTTTCCAGCGCCGAGTCCCCTCCAGGGGTGGCGGCGGTCGTGGTGCACCACTAGTGGGTCTTCAGTAGGGCGGGGGGCTTGGGCGTGGCTGGGGGGGCTTCCATCTCCATCGGGGGTGGAGGGAGTAGAGTTTGGGGGGGCTCAGGGGCTGGATTTTGGGGTGGTGGGATGGGCAGAGTCATTTTGGGGGATCCTGGGGCTGGATTTGGGGGTGGCGGGATGGAGAGAGTAATTTGGGGGGATGGATTTGGGGTTGATGGGATGGGGAGAGTCACATTTTGGGGGGACCAGGGGCTAAATTTGGGACTGGTGGAACGGAGAGAGTCTTTTAATAGGCTGGAATTTGAGGTGGTGGGATGGGGGGAGGCATTTTTGGGTCTGGATTTGCAGTTGTGGGGTGGGGAGAGGCAGTTTGGGAGTCCCGGGTGGGTGGGGGGATGGGTGGATAGGTGTGGGATGGGTGGAGCCATTTTGGGTAGTCCAGGGGCTGGATTTGGGCATGGTGGGGTGGCCACCCCCAACCTGGCATCTCCACCTGGAGGGGTCCCCAATATTTGGGGTCCCAAATCTGCCCATCCAGGTGTCCCAAGTTTGCCCACACCACGGGTCCCAAGTTTGTGGGGTCCCACATCCCTGAGGTGTCCCTGCCCACCCAGGGGTCCCAATTTTTTGGGTTCTCCTGCCCACCGAGTTGTCCTCACCCAATTGGTGCCCATGCCAAGCCCCCCACAGCCCCCATCCCTGCCGGGGACAGGGGGACAGGGTGCTGGGGGGACAGGGGGACAGAGTGACAGAGCAACAGGAGCCCTGCCACCCCCGTGCCCCAGGACCAGGTGGGACCAGAGACGTTTCCATTGCACCCCTGCCCCCAGCCCCACCCTGAGGAACCCCCTGCCCCCCCTTTGTCAGCTGGGGGGGGCTTGGTGGCATGCAGGACCCCCTCTCTGTGCCATCCCCGAGGCAGCACCTGCGCTTTTTGACCCTGCCACCTGCCAGTTTGTCCAAGCGGGAGGTGGTCCATGTCCTCCAGAAGGGGGGGAGTGACAACATTTTTGGGGGCACCTCGGCCACTTACACCCCTCTGCATCCCCCTAAGGATGCTGCATGACCCTACATCCCCCCCCCCCCCCCAGACCTCACCTCCTCTTCCTCTGGGAGGTGATGTCGCTTCTCCCACTGGGGACTCACTGGTGAAACTGGGGGACACCATGGGTCACCCCTCAAAGGGACTGAAGGGTGGCAGTTGCTCCTGGAGTCCCCCTGATATGACAGCTGGGGGGCCCAGGATGCTGCAGTGACAGTTTGGGGAGTGGGTGCTTGTTTTGGGGTCTCCAGCTGGGTCCCAAAGTCCCCTCCCATCACCTCAAAGCCACTCCCAGCCAGTGCCTCAGTTTCCCTCCTGCTCTGCAGGGACCACCTGGCACCAGTGTTCTGGAATTGGGTTTATTTTGGGGAGTTTGGGGGTTGGGGCTACTGGGATGGGCTGGTGGACCAGTGGGGTAGGCCAGGGTGTGGCCAGGCCGGTGGTCATCTGGGCTGGGGTCCGGCCAGACTGGGAGGCTGCAGGACCGGGGTCATCCAGAGCAGTGTCCAGCTGACATACATGGATCTGTGTCCATCCGGACCTGTGTCCATCCAGAGCAGGATCCACGGCTCTGGTGTCCATCTGGACCAGGGTCCAACCTCTCCTGCCTCTGTCCATCCCAGGCCCCCTGGCCAGAGCCACTCCTCACTGCAGAGTGGACAAGACCCACAATCCATCCCAAGATGGCCACAAACCCCCTCCCACCAAGCCCACCAGGCCACCGACCCTGAGCCCTGGGGTGCTATGGGTGGTGGGGAAACAAGCACACAATCCATATGATTGATAGCAAGCTCCAACTTTATTCAAAGATACACTTAGCTTATTTAGGGTGTTCTACAAGCATAGTCAGCCGTAAGCTCTGATTGGTTAATTTACAAAGCTCTTTGTTTTACTTCTCCTGTGTGCAGTTACAGCTGTAGCTAAGTTCTCCTAAGCCAAGTTCTCACCTCTAAGTCATGTCTTCCAAGGACATGTCATCTTTGTTGAGCATATCTTCAAGGCTATGCCTGTCCTTATTATTTCATTCCCAAACCTTGTACAGCTATGCAGTTTCCCAGGCCTAGACACAGAGATGGGTTTCCAAGCTCTGTTCCCAGGTCAGACACAGCCTGATTCTGGGGTCTTAAACAGAGGTTTTTTGGAACAGGTATTGCATAGAATCATGGCTTTGTTCCAACAACCATTCTCCAACAATTCCCCCTTCTTTCTTTTGCACAAGCATTGCTTGATTGGTGACAGATGGGGCAATTTGATGTATGACTCTCTGAAGGCAAGCACAAATACATGGTGAAAAGCATACAATCATCAAAATCACTAAACCAAGCATGATTAAATATTGAATGATAGAACGAAGCCATGGTCCCAGGCCCAATGATTTTAGCCAGTCATCTAACCCAAATCCATCCTCTTGCTGTAACTGAGTAGTAAGCCTATGCAATTCATTAATTTGCTTGTGTATTGATTTGCAGTGATCAGACAGATTCATGCAACACATTCCTTCAAAATCCTCACAACCATGTCCCTGAGCCAATAGTAAAAAGTCAATAGCAGCATGATTTTACAAAGTAGTATGCTGAACAGAATCAATATCTGACAAAAGATTAGACAGTGCAGCAGATGTAGCATTAGTTTGTTTGGCAAGCCAACAACCTAATCTGTTCAGTGTTGTTTGTGCCTTAGCCGCTGCAGCTCCTGGGACAAAAATAGAAGCAGCTACAATTGCTCTTTGGGACTAAAACTTTATATTATCTCTGCAGTCGCTCTGAAAAGCATGGGTCATTCTTTTTTGTCTATGCTGTCGGTATACATTTAATATCATGGACAGGTTTGGTGTCAATAGAGACAGTCGACCAATGGTGCAGGGACCCACTTTGAGTTTAGAAGGGATACCAGACCAGGCACGATCCCCACAAATAAGGAAGTACCCAGTAGGTAGCTGCAGTGGAGATTCAGAAGAAACTGAGGCATGTGCTGAAGTGTAATTACACCAATAAGAAGAATTTCTATATATTGGGAGGCTAGAATTTGCTGACACCGAATACTTATTGTTGGGATTCTGTTGTTGAACACTGTTCCAATTGAAAATAATATATGCATCAGCCTTAAATGATCCCAAAAGCTCTAACTCTTGTGGTTCAAGAGGAGCAAGAGGGAGGTGAGGAACCCAAGAATGCCAATTATCCACATTGTTTTGGGGCTGTGTTACCTTACAGGTTGGTATGTTCTGAGGGCAAGGCCAATTTTCGACAGGAACTCCTACCAGGCAGGTAGAAAACGGATTTCCAGGTGAGGATAAAGACAAACAAATAGCACCCTGATTTGTCAGTTTAGCTAAGGTGACCCATATATTTGTTTTTGTCTGTACAGGAGCCCAAGCATTAACATGTGACAAAATTGACAGTAGCAAAACTAAAGGTAACATTTTGTCTACAAATACCATCCTCTTTCTACATTATATTCTCGACCTAAGTGTTTATACTGACAAGACTCTACCTTATTACACACAAATAATCTTGCTAAGTGAAGCAATTTAATCAGTCTAAATGCCAGTAATCCTAGCTCTCTTTCTTCTATGTTTTCTCCCAGAGCACTCAATTATGCTTGTGAAGCACGAGGTTGATAAAACCACCTGCGAAGAGCAAAAACTGGATTATCAGTATGTAAGGGTCTCCAACAATCAATACACTCGTTAAGTATGCAAAAATCTCTACTTTGAAATGCCTTTCTACAACCTATACATACAATCACAATTAAGGTAACTTGATGCCCCAAGCACCCACAAGTCACATGCATTATTAAATTCTTTCTGTGCTTGTAACGATAATGTAGTGCTATAGCCACTCGTGATCCTACATCAGGGCTAGTCCAATCAAGATTAATATCTAAAACTTCATTTATTTGCTGAAGAATAGGTTCAAGCCATAATTGTTGTCGGTGGAGTCTTCTGGCGATGGTGGAGGTGTCGGTGGCTGTGATGGAACAGGATGTGTCCACTTACTGGGAACCCGCAAGGGACCTGTAGGTGTAGACACACACATGTGACCTCGACCCATATAATTTACAGGTGCTGGTCCTGACCATATCCCTGTAGCAGGATGCCTATACATTACAGTTATTGATTTTTCTACAGCATTTTGTTTTGCAGTATCCCATGTGTGTATGCAGGAGGTGTGTCATAAACACCAAATATGCAAAGATGATTTAAAGGGAATAATGCTTTTGCCAGTCTTTCCTGAGGAACAGTGATTGTCTTAAATTTTGCAAGATATTGTTTTAAGGTTTGATTTGCCCTTTCTACTGTAGCCTGACTTGTGGGGGAGTGTGAAATTTCTGTAACACCCCATTGCTGCAAAAAACAATTAACTTTCTTCCCTACATATGCAGGTGCATTATCTGTTTTGATAGTTCTAGGTACCCCTAAAATAATAAAGCACAGTGTTAAATGCCTAATAACATGAACTGCTTTCTCTCCAGCTTGAGGAGAGGCCCAAATGTGAGAAGTGACTGTAGGTGTCAATGACCACATGGACATAACGTAAATGCCCAAATTCATTCACATTAGTCACGTCCATTTGCCACAACTCACTGGGGCCCAGACCTCCTGGATTTACCCCCAGGCCAAGACATGGTCCATTGTGATGACTGCAGTCTGGACATGCTCTGACAATTCCTCGGGCTTCCTCTATGGTAATATCAAAGCGATGTCATTGCCGTTTTGCATTCTAATGAAATGAGGCATGGGCATTGAGTGCTTTTGTAAAATTGTCCCTGGGTACAGTCACTGATACCAGCTGATCAGCATTGCCTTCCCTTAATCCTTCCATCCACTTATGACTCCTGATGTGAAAGATTGCATATGGAGCAGCTCTTTGATGGCAGACTGTAGATGTGCAAAAAGTGTGTTCAAGTGTTGGTTTTGCACTTCTCTCAGCAATGCATCTTCAATGCGCTGCACTACTCCAGGTGCATATAGAGAGTCAGACACAGCATTTATGGGGTCATGCATCCATCTGCAAAATGCACACACAATAGCTGAAAGTTCTAATGTCTGCAGAGTGTCTGAGGCCAGTCCTTCTATTAAGATGTGATTCCATTGTCCTTGCTCATTCCAGGTAAGAGCAGCTTTTTGTGATTTGGGGCCTGTATCTGTGTATACAGTGATAGCATCCATCAGTGGTGTTTCACTATATTTTGGTTGTGATAGCCATGTCTGTGAGGACATCCAGCGTAGAATAGATGAAGATAGTGGAGACAACTGAATTTCTGCACCATATTCCAAAATGCTAGCTTGTAATTCAGGATAGTGTTGTAAAAACCAATCCAAATCAGCCTGTTTTATTGGAACAAAGAGTCTTTGTGGCTCTTCTCCAGTGACCTGTAACACACGTTTCTGACTTTTTCGAATTAACAGTGCAAGTGCATCTATACATGGCTGAATAGAATTGCAAGGTTGCATAGGTCCAAACACCTATTCTAACACTTTTACATCTTGCTTCTTTTCCCCTTTTTCTTCCAATTGCTGAGTTAGAGCACCTAAAGTTGTTTTGGCTGAGACAGAATAGTAATGTCTATGGGCAAGTCAGGATTATTGTGATTAACAGCTTTTTGGGCAACAGAAGCAGCAATATTTGTTACTACTTCTCGTTGCTTATCAGTCAATTGAATAGGTGCTGCAGGATCTGTGCCTTTCAGCAATGGTCTCAGTTCATCAAGCTCATCATTGGTAATGTCTACAACCGGACGGAGCCACTGAATGTCTCCCATAAATCTTTGCATGTCATGTAAGGTTTTGAAATTGAGCTGCAAATAAACTTTTTGTGGCCGAATATGCCTATCAGAAATTACCCAGCACATGTATTTCCAGGGAGCAGAGCTCTGTACTTTTTCTGGAGCTACACACAAATTGTTACTTTGGAACTGCACAAAAATGAAAGCCTCTTGCTGAGCTGTGAATGAGCTTTCTTGTGCAAACAGAATGTCATCCCTGTAATGATATATCACAGTGCTAGGACAAGCAGCTCGAACAGGCAACAGGGCAGCGTCCACAAACAGTTGACACAGAATAGGGCTACATTTCATTCCCTGTAGCAAGGACACCCACTCATATCGATTAGCTGGTGCTTCACAATTTAGGAAAGGTACTGTGAAAGCAAATCTTTTACTGTCATTTGGATGGATGCCAGTTGTAAAGAAACAGTCTTTAAAATCAATGATAAGAAGGTTCCAGCACTCGGGCAGTATGGCTGGATGTGGGAGGCCTGGCTGTAGTGCTCCCACTGATTCTATCTGGGCATTAACTGCACATAAATCGTGAAGCAAATGGAATTTCCCTGATTTTTTCTTAATAAAAAATATGGGATTATTGCAGGGGCTCATTGAGGGTTTAATGTGACCTTGCTGTAACTGTTCAGCAACAAGGGCATGAACTTTCTCTTTTGCTTTTTCTGTTGCAGGCTTTCTCTTCTCAGCGGCCACTGCTCGATCCACACTGGATCATCAGATTTCCAGGTTAGGGGGATCGGGAAAGCCCAAGTAGTGACCGCTACTAAAAACGGTCTTTTGTCACAAGGAGAACACCTAATTGCGTGAGAATGTCATGGCCAATTAATGCTTGAACATTGTGTGGTAATAACAGTAACAAATTGTACACAAGTGGGACAATCCAGTGATAAACAAATTTTGTCCTTGCTCTTACAAACTGAAGCTGAACCTCCTACTCCCTCTACACCAGAGAGCATTGGGAGCAGAGGCCAGCTGGCAGGCCAACAGTCCTTGCTGACAATAGTGATGTCAGCTCCAGTATCCAGGAGTGCAGATAGCTGTAGCCTCTGTTGGCCATTTTCCAAAAGAACAGGAGCTTTTGGCCATTATTCCATCGGCAAACATAATAAAGCAATACCTCCTGTAAATCCAAAACTCTCCGGCGCAGTCTATGCCTCAGCCCACACAGGGGAGAGGGCACTTGACACAAAAAAACATCTTATACAAGCCTTCTCCACGTTGGGGGTCCCCAAGGTCATTAAGATGGACAACGGACCCGTGTACACATCCAGAGAGTTCCAGAGCTTCCTGCAGCAATGGGGAGTGGAACATAAGACCGGCATCCCCCAATCCCTTATGGGCCAAGCTGTGGTTGAGAGGACCCACCAGAGTCTAAAAAGAATTTTACTTCACCAGCAAGAGACAATGAAGGGGGAAGCCCCTCAAATCCATCTTGCCAAGGCGTTGTTTACATTGAACTTTCTAAATTGTGCTTTTGAAATCCTGAATCCCCCCATCATTAGGCACTTTAAAGACAGTCACCAGGTGGAGTTGAAAGAAAAACCCCCAGTCCTCGTCAAGGACCCGGAGACATGGATGACACAATGTTCCTACCACCTGGTCACTTGGGGGAGGGGGTACGTCTGGGTATCCACCCCCTCAGGGTTAAAATGGGTCCTGTCTAGATAGGTCCGGCCATACATCCCCAAAGTCACCAAAGAAAACACTGTCCGGCAAGTCCAGGATGTCTGTTGGAGGAGGAGCAGATGCAGGACCAATTCCATTTAAGATACCCCTGTTAATATCTTTTTATTTCATTGCAGCCCAGACCTGATGGCCACACGCTCTATTAAAATGCCAGTTTGGCTTGTCACCGTGCTCTGCATCTTAAAAGAAGGAGACTGGAGACTGGCTTGGGAACATTTTAGCTGGCTGGGGATTCTCAGGATGGGTGAGCTCAATTGTCAAAACAAAACTTCTAGTCTTACTTATTTTTATTCTTATTTTATTTGTTTTTGGTGTCATCCGGCACATGATATCTCAGTTGATAGCCAAGGCAACAGACATCCCAAGCATCAACCATGTTGCAGCTCCATCAGCTTCCGATCTAGAAGATGAAGTTCCACCAGTCCCAGATCCTAGAGATGCATCATGGACTGAAACAGGGCCTATCCGCCAGCCTTGGTTTGCAGGCACCTACCCTGAATCTGAGTTTCTCCCCTGTATGGAGGTTACCCCCGTTTGAAAGACTGAGTTTTCTCACTCGTTCATTTGTATTGAAAAAAGGGGGAGATGTTGTACTGTGTTATTGAGTTTGTTCAGTTTGTTCAGTGGTTTAGTCCTGTACCCCCTGGTAAGTGGTCCTGCCCTCCCTTGCCTACTCCCATCCCTATGTCAATCCTCCTTTCCCTCCTCCACTGAAATGTTTCCCTTCTGAGGACCCTGCCCCTGGACCTGTCCATCACTCGGCAGCCCTTCCTTTCTTTCTGGAAGGTTCTACCCAGAACATCGAGTGATAGGCCGGACAGCCAGGTCTCCTCCTACCCTCTTTCCCCATTGGTGTTCCCTCATGTATGTCACCCTGATATCCACACCCCTGTTTGATCTCATTGGCCCACGTAGGGCCATCCCCTGGTTACACTCACTGTTATAAGCCTGTGCAAAAGGCTGCTCAAGGCTTTTGCAGGCAGTTTACCCTCTAAGATGGGAAGCTCTTCTTAGCTGCCCAATAAAGTTGGATTACAAGCCCCTGCAAGGGACGACTCCTTGCCTTTGTCATTGTTGCCAAGGTCTCCCTGGGGCTCAGGAAATCTGAACCCACAACTGCCGACCTTACCTCCCGAGGATTGGGAAGGTGGCCAGTGCTGACCTCGGTGTCCAGCTGAGCCAGGCAAGCATTTTCCAGGACAGACACCGTGGCAGTGGTGGATCAGAGAGAAAAGCCAAAGGTGACAGACTAAACTTGACTGTAGGAGAGGGATGGCTCAGCAGAGGACCTGGGGACCTGTGGTGCCAGCCAGTGACCGGCCACTTGGACACAGCAGGAAGGCCCCAGACTGTCACACTTCAGCTGGGAGGGTATAAAAGCCAAGAGGTTCTTTGTTCAGGGTCCCCCAGAGGCACCAGCTCAAACTGCCACTGTTCCAGCACAATAAAATTGTTTTAAGGATCCAGAGGTCCGACACTCTGCTATGGAGGACATTTCACATTTCCAATCTTTTGGGCACTTAGGATCTTCTAATTTTGCTTTGCACCCAAGAAAATAAAACCCCCAAATGTGCACAAATTACTCCTTTAGCTTTTCCTCCTGTTATTTTAATCTGACTTTTACATTGTTGTCTGCTATCTTGTCCTCATCTTTCCAAAATTCCCGTGCCTATTTAAGTCCAGCCTGGCATGGTGCACACATTTTGTTTAGTTCTGCAGCGATTTATCCCCAGCAATCCTGCTGACCACACCCATTTCAATGTTGCAAAAACCGAACTCTGGGCTGCAGTATGTGAATCACGCTCTGGTGTGTGAGATGGCAGGGCACCAGAGCAGGCACTGAAGAAGGGACGTTCCGTAGGTTGGTGAAGTCACTACCAGAACTCAGTCTAGCTCTCAGAACTCCGGCGCCACACCAGGAGTGGGGAACTGCCTCGCTATGGGCATTTACCAGAGGCAGAACCTTTAGAGGCTCTTGCTCTAAGGCGCCAGTGTCACGATCCGCTTATAGCGGGGTGTCGTGATGGTTTGTTAGCCAATCCCAAAGTGCAAAAGACAAACAGCAGGGGACTATCAGTTTAATCACAACAGATGCACCTTTATTAAGGGCCAAAAACCAATAAATGCGATAGTGGGGTCAGAAAATAAATAAAAAGGAGAGAGAGAGAGAGAGAGAGAGAGAGCGAGAGAGAAGGGGGGATGGGAATAGCTACCAACACAGGCGAGGTCCTCAGTGGTCTGGACGATGGGGATCCGTCTTGTTGTGTTGGGGAGAGTCTCCAAAGTCCAAAGACCCTCCAGGGGTCCAGTTATAGTCCACAGAGGGAAAAGGGGGGAACATGCAGAACAATGACAGTCTACTGAAATTGCTATGGGGGGAACAGGTGTATCTACAGAAAATCATCCAGGCAGAACAAACACAATGATGAATAAGTCCATTGAAGTTACTGGAGAAGAACAGGTCATGTCATTCCCCCCACCACCACTCTCTGTGGTAGGGGTCTTAGTCTCAGTCCTTGGGGAGAGGGTTCTTGATCTCCGTGTGTCACATTGACATGCGTGTGGTCAGCACGATTGCTCGGGATAAATCGCTGCAGAACTAAACAAAATGTGTGCACTATCCCAGGCTGGACTTAAATAGGCACAGGAATTTTGGAAAGATGAGGACAAGATAGCGGACAACAATGTAAAAGTCAGATTAAAATAACAGGAGGAAAAGCGAAAGGAGTGATTTGTGCACATTTGGGGGTTTCTTTTTCTTGGGTGCAAAGTAAAATTAGAAGGTCCTAAGTGCCCAAAAGATTGCAAATGTGAAATGTCCTCCATAGCAGAGTGTCGGACCTCTGGATCCTTAAAACAATTTTTTTGTGCTGGAACAGTGGCAGTTTGAGCTGGTGCCTCTGGGGGACCCTGAACAAAGAACCTCTTGGCTTTTATACCCTCCCAACTGAAGTGTGACAGTCTGGGGCCTTCCTGCTGTGTCCATGTGGCCGGTCACTTGCTGGCACCACAGGTCCCCAGGTCCTCTGCTGAGCCATCCCTCTCCTACAGTCAAGTTCAGTCCGTCACATTTGGCTTTTCTCTCTGATCCACCACCAGGACCACAAGAGCTCATCATCCTGAGGATGTAAAAATGCCTGTTCTTGCTGGAACATTGCTGTTGCGTGACACCCTGCAGGCAGAGCGGGCAGCTGTAGGGATGTTGACTTGTTTCCCTGGTGCCAGCCGTGCAGCATGCATCAGAGCTCCTGGGTGTTGGTGCTCGCTGGGACACGGCCCGGCCCCACAGTAAGTTACAAAGCGTCTTCAAGGAATCCCCACACGTTGAACCATATGATTTATCCTGGGATTTTAAGTGGTTTCTCAACTTGAAGAGAGCCTAAACAAGCCTGTAAAAGGCCTAAACAAGTCTCCTATGAATTCTCTCCCTGGCAAGTTCAGTTCCACCCCCGAATGGCCCTCAGCATTCTCAAGGCAGCGGCAGGAGCCGGGTGCTGACCCAGAGCCCCGTTGGGCAGGGAGAGCGCGGCACAGAGCGAGCCCTTGGTGCCCGGGATGGCCACAGGCCCAGGAGAGCCGGGGGGGCAGCGCCAGAGCCCTGCTCAGGGCCCCCCTGGCTCCTCTGGCATCGGTTCCATCCCCACGGGCGCTGAGCGGTGCCGGTCCCGCCGCTCTGCCTGCGGGGCTGTCTGTGCCAGGCCCTGATGGAGGCAGGGCCAGTGCCCTCCATGCCTCAGAGGGAACCTAAAATATCCCTGTGTGTGTGACAAGGGACCCTAGCCCCTCATGCACCTTATGGGGTCTCCAAGTCCCTGCGTGACTTATGGGGAAATGTCTTGGTAAAAAATATCCACAGCCCTCCCTGCCTGCCCTATCCCCTTCCTTTCCCTCAGTTTATTGCTGACCATGACATTGCATGGAATGGGAGATCCCTTGGGTCAGTCCAGCCCAGCTGTCCCCTCCCTGTGCCCTCAGGAACACTTGCCCATCCCCACCCATTGCCTGGGGGAATTGCAGACATGCCCTGGGCATGGCAGGGACAGGGCAGGGCTGGCAATGGCAGGGCAGGGCCCGGGGGGCAGCGAGATGGGAGTGTGCAGCCTGCAGGGACACAGCAGCAGCTGTGGGACAGCGCAGGACAAGCTGTGCTGGACATGGCCAAGGGCCCTGGCAAGGCTGGCAGTGGCCAGGAGAAGCCAGGCCTTGGTGCCCTGGGGCACAGCAGCGTCTTGCCACCAAGGGCTGTGAGGAGGAGACACCTTGTCCTGAGGCACTGGGGCCTCCTGGCACAGCCCCAGCCAGGCTGGGCACTGTCATCCCTTGTCCTGCCCTCAGCATCCCTCCCTATGCCAGTGCTCCCGGCAGAGCCCTGAGCAGGCGGGGAGGGACAGGATCTGCCTTCCCTGGGGCTGGGGCTCAGGCCTTGGCCTTTCTGCTGCCTCCAGCCAGCCCAGGCTCTGCTCAGCAGCTGAGCTGCCTACACAGAGCCTCTGCCTCCCTGCACTCCTGGCCTCAGGGAGCTGCTGGGAAGAGGCCCTGGGGAGCCTTGGTCAGGAATGGCCCTGGGCCCTCCTTCATGCTCCCAGGGACTGCAGGTTCTTCAAAGGACTTGGGCTTTTGCCTTGGAGTCCTGAGAGGTTTGTGCAATCATGGCCTGCAATTATCTGCTGGAATTAGTCTCTGTTGTCAGGAACAACACTCAGTGGGGCTCATTAATGCTTCAAGGTACTGCAGTTCTTTTAAGGTACTTGGTGTTTCCCTTTTGATACAGACTCTGTGGGAGGTTTGTGCAGTCATGGCCCCAATTATCTGCTTTAATGAGTCCCTTGAGAGCTTTGTACTGACACTCAGTGGGGCTCATTAATGCTTTGAGATACTCAACTTTTCTAAGGTACATTAGAATTTCCTTTCCAAAGTGAGCGGGTTTTGTGCCATTTTGAGTCTCTGAGAGGTTTTTGTGCCATCCTGGCCTCCACTTCTCCCCTCCAAGGAGTCCATGAGGAGCCTGCATTGGGCTGGACCTCAGTAGGACCCATTTATGTTTTGAGACATTTTGGGGTTTTCTTCTGACTTGGACTCCTGGAATGGTTTGTGCTATCTCCTCGCAGGCCCTGAGATTCCAGGGCTCAGCTCCAAATGCACCATGGGGCTCATTGGGATCAAGCAAGTCCTGACAAACCACGGCTCTGCCTTGATTTCCTTCCTGTCTGGGGCAGTTCATGAGGAAGTTTGTGTAGTTGTCTTGGTTCACCAATTTGAGATTTCTCCGTCAATGCATTAATTAGTGTGTGGGTTCAGTGTTGGCTAATTACCAGTGCACTCACTAGCATACACTTACTCATTTCTTGCTGTGAGATAGGATTAGGAGAACGGCAAAGTAGGCTCAAAACTTTAAAAGGTTTTGAAGAAAAGTTTATTAACAGTAACTAAAAGAAAGAGTAATGAGGATCAGAACTGTCAGAACACTTTTCCTCTCCATACAACCTGACAATGTAAAGAAGCAAAATCTAAAATTTTCAGTCAGTTTACCACCTCTAGAATAGTCTTTCTTCACTTCACTTAGGGAGAAAAGTTCCTCATGTTAATGTTATGGAGACTTCTCCACAAGAAAACAGTTCTCTCATGGCTTTTCATTTCCACGAATAGCAGCTGCCTGGAAAAATCTGCAATTGTACAGTCTCTCCCATTTTTTCACAGCCTTTCCCACAGCTGTGTTTATGGGCCATGTCAGCTTATGGGGTATTATTTTAAAGATGAGCTGTTTAAGAGCAAAGGTTCTCTTCATCTATTTCTGAAATAATTTTCATCTCTGGGAACTGAGGTCTTCTCTCCCTGAGGGTACAGGGTCTTACCACTCTGTTCTTTTTCTCTGTTCAAACTTCTCATGGGATCACAGCTACTTCAACATTTCCTTACTTTAGCATGGAGGCCTTTGCTGAAACAAGTTGTTACAGGTAAAAATGATCAAGCCAAATTTCATAATTAATAAAAATAGATGTTTATCTCACAACTGAGATTAGGTCTGAGATAAAAAACAGTGCCGAGTCC